GGCTCTGAAATTCAGGGATCATGAGATGCCCTCCCCATGGCTGTCCCTGGGGCACTGCATACACGCTCAGACACACACGTGTGTGTCGAGCTGCACAGGCTCACATCACCTTCCCCTCCCATCCCTCTGCACGGAGCAGGGACTGGGAGCTTGGTCATGTGGGGGGACTTCACTCACTCCCCTTTCCCTTCAGCTCTCATCCATGAAATATTCATATTGCAGGGGCACAGAGGGATAAATTCAGTGTTATCACCGTCTACCCAATGAGGCCAAAGTTGAGCACTGCGAGGTGTGAGGTAATTACTCCTCAGCCTTTAGCCTGTGCTCAGACTGATTGCAAAGCTCAGGGACCTCAGGACACTGCTCAGCTTTCCAGGTGAAGGTGGTGAGGAAGAAACCTGCCACAAGACCAGCCCCAGYGTGGAAATTGCTGTTACAGGAATCCCCTCGTGAGAAATGCTTTCCTCACCCAGCAGTGGGGAGCCTGGCTCCTGTTGGGAGCACCATGCAGCCCTTTGGACGGCAGCTTTCCCTGCTGTCCCTCTGAAACCACAGCACTCTGCCCCCAGCCCTGAGCCCAGGTGTGAGGGTTCCCAAAAATYAGCCCTTGGCACTGCAGCCATGCTCCTGGCTCCAGCTCACTGCTCCTTCCACCAGCATTCCTGCTCACCAGGCTTAGGATGTACAAYGAATCTCATCACAGAATAATCATGGCATGGTTTGGGTTGGAAGGGACCTTAAAGGTCATCTAATTTCAAGCCCTGCCATGGGAAGGTGTCTGACCCCCCTGCCCTTCTTGCTGCATTGTTGAAGAATGAGGAATTAACCCTAAAATCAGGAAACGCAGAAGTCAAGATCTTTCCATCCAAATGGCAGAGCAGGTTACGCTGACAGATGTTTCACAGCACAGGTTAAACCTCCCGAAGGACAACACGCCACAGGGCGGGTCTGACAAGGCAGATCGGGGACAGAGAGGCAATATGAGGGGCAGTGTGTCTGCAGGCTCAGCTCTTGGCATGCTTTGCACCTAYTGCCTGCAAAAGATGGCGCTTCTTGACTCCTTTCCATTTCACCTTCCCACTCCTCACCCTCTCGGGACTCCCTCACCTCGCTGTGCCAGGCCATGTGTCAGGCCATTTGCTGTGGTCCAAACATTCACCTTGGCCACATGCCTTCCCCTCTGGCCATGCCCAAGGGCAGTGGATGTTCTTTTCCTGGTGTTTGTGGTCTCCATGGCCAGCAGTGGATGTCCTTCCCCTGGTGTTTGTGGTCTCCATGCCCAGCAGTGGCTGCCCTTCCCCTGTTGTTTATGGTCTCCATGCCCAGCAGGCTCTGCCCTGCGGTGTTGGCTCCTGCCTGCATTTCCTGTGGACCTTACACCTTGTGTGGAGGATCAAGGCCTCACCCAAAAGGGCTACAGGAGGAATGTGTCACACCAAGATATTTACACTCTTATTTACTCCATGTCTTTGGGAAAGGGCTAAAAAATACCAGGCTGCTCCCACTCCAATCGTCTAATCCTGGATTTCATGGCTCATYTTGGAGCTTCTCCCCACAGCCAGCAAGGTTGTTTGGTGTCACCTCTCAGGCTGATGGAAAATGGAGAGAGAATCTTACTGGTTTACAGGGCTGTTTCGAAACCCCTTTGGGAACCTGGCCCAGGTGGCTCTGACTTGCTTCCAGCCTGCCTGCCAGCTTTCCTTCCCAGGGAGAGAAGCCTGGGGGGGGCGGCTGGTGAGCAGCCAGGTCTTGCCCTGACAGAGAAAATTTTCTTGGAGCTGCTTTCTCCAGCTGAGTGCGGGTGTTTGACTGGTTGAGACCTGGTGGGTGCTGCACACCTGCCTGTCCCCCCTTCAGTGTGGGGAGCACAGAGATGCTCTTGCTGTGCCCTTGGCAGAGCTRATTGTGCACAGATGCTGCAGATCAGTGCAAGGGAGATGTGAAGTCATTCATTCAGCTTCACCTCTTTCCAGGTTTGCTGCCCTTCTGAAATATCAGGGCCAAGCCCTCTCCAAGAACAGAGATGCTGTACTGGGATCTGTTTTAGCAGAATCCCTGGGACTCAGGGTAGGTGTGCAGTGTGGTTGTGGTGACACAGATTGCACATTGCTGACAYCTGCATGAGGCACTGGCTGCTGCTTCTCTGAGGGTATTGGCATTTGATAAAAATAGAARTTTTCCTGCCTAGCTGAATATGAGGAGAAATATTTCCCCTAGGGAAACAGAGGTTTTTGCACCTAAAACTTCCCAGGCTCTTCTGAAAAACCTGAAACAATGTTTTCCTCTCAAATTTTACAGTTTCTCAGCTATTGAGCCTGGTTTATAATCAGCATCTGGCCACAAATACTCATTTTAGGAACCCTGGAGAAATTTCTGTCTTCACCAACCCTTACCATCCTGTTGCCTCCCAGGAGGTAACGCCCACGGGGTAACTGAGAGCACGGCTTGGCCTCCACAAGCCAAGAAAATGTGCTAAGTGCTGTCAACAGAATGTAATCATAATTTGAGTTAAAGGGTAAACGTGGAGACTATAATCGTCTCCACATGCACAGGAGCTCAGAGGTGGGAGGTAGGTGCAGGTCCAGCAGCTTGGCTGGGATGGTGCCACCAAAACATGGGTGGTTTTTTGCCCCAGAGCTTGTCCAGCTTTGGTCCTCAGGCAGGTGGGTGCTAAGGACTGACATGGGGGGAGGCTTTACCTGGGGAACATGCACTCCTCAAGGATCACTGCCTTGGAATGTTCACTGGCCTGTAGGGGAGAGTGGGATGCTCAGGCCAGGAGGAATAGAAGGCATCTCATTGCCCATGGAGGATGCTCCTTCAGAGCAGTCAGATGTGGACAAGAGTGTGGAGAGCCTGGAGGTGARGGTTGGATGCTCGGGCCAAGAGGAGTAGAAGGCATCTCATTGCCTCTGGAGGATGCTCAGATGTGGAGGAGAGAGTGGAGAGCCTGGAGCTCAGTGTCCTCATGCAGGCAGCTGGGCAGGGTGGAGCTGTGGGACATTCACAGCACCGGGGTGTCCTGCAGAGCCTGGACACAGCCACAGCCCTGCTCCCCCAGGACCACCCCTGGAGGATACATCCTGCCAGGGCTGCCTGGTGAGCAGCAGCAGAGACAGAACTTGCACTGCTGCAGCTCCCCAGAGTCCCGGGAATGCTGCACAGCCATGTCCCTGTGGAACCGGGAGAACGAGCGGGGCACACGGAGCTCCCCAAGTGCTGGGTGYCCCCTCAGATGAGCAGCAAAAGGCAAAGAAAGGGTGAGAGAGGGGGAATAAGCTTTCAGCACAAATGTCTGTGGAGACAGAATTCTCTCCCAGGGGTAGGGAACCCTTTAGTCTTCCCCACAGCAAGGAAGGGGCCATGTTCTCCTTCGCAGCTCTATTCTGTCGGGACGAGCAGCGGGATCTCTGAGCACCCTGGCTACAGAGAAGGGTTGCCCAGATGTGGATTGGGATGTTCCTGCATGTTCTGCTACAACTACAGCCCAAACAAGGTTTCCTTCCACCAGTGAGCTCTCTGCTCGCTCCTGCAGCCTGCCTGCCTTTGTGCTGCCTGGGTGCTGTGGCTCTGCCCTCACACATTTGCTTGTGACCACCAGGAATGACTGGGGACAGAGCCAAGCTGGGACCCGTGGGTCAGCAGAGGAGACCATCCATCAGCCTCCCAGCCCTGGCACGGCTCAGCCTCTCCCCAACTGAGCCCTTCTGGGTGGTCCCAGGATCTGCCAGTCTGCAGGGAAGAGACAATGCCTGCCATGGTCCTGCCCTGAGGAGCACGTCTGGGGACTGAGGGCTGGCCTGCTGCTGCCACTCCTGCCCAACAGCTCCTGTTGGCACTGTGCTGGGCACAGAGGGGCCCTGTCTCTGTGAGTGGCACTTGAATGCTGGGAAGCAGCGTGTCCCTTTGCTGTGACCCGGACCCCCTGGCTCTTCCTGGCAGGAAGTGAGGCCCCAACTCTGAACCCAACTCACACAAAGGGATAAGTTTCTGCACAATTGAAGGCATCAGGCTCCTCTTGCAATYTTTCAGAGCCTCGATTGATGTGTTTGCTCGTTTGTGTTTCCTCCTGGGCTGGTGCACAGCCCACGAGGCTCAGGCCACTCGTGCAGCTGTCACAGYTCAGGGATTGTGTGGCCAGGCTGCCCTGGAGTTCAGGGAGATCTCTGCTGCTGATCACAGAATCGTGGAGGTTTGGCTTGGAAGGRACCTCAGAATCCATCCAGTTCCACCTCCTGCCATGGGCAGGGACACCTTCCACTGTCSCAGGCTGYTCCAAGACCCATCCAGCCTGGCCTTGGACACTTCCAGGKATGGGGCAGACACAGCTTCTGTGGGCAGCACCCTCACAGCCAAAATGTCTTTCTACAGTCCAATCTCAACCACCTTTCTGAAGATGTGTCCTGGAAGAGAGTTCCCTCCTGCTTCCCACCCTCCCTGCAGTCTCCTGATGGGCTGTGTCCCAGCCAAGCCAAGCACATGGTGCAAGATGAAGTCAGCTGGCTGTGGGTAACACCAGGCAACATGMGACCACCTCAAACAGAGATACCCCACAGACCCCTGAGGACTTTACAGGCCCCAAACCCAAGCCAGCCCCTTGTTTTAGTGGTCAGGCACTGGGAGGCTTTAGGACCATGCCCATGTGCTGAGGAAGAAGACACACTCCCTGAGCAGGGCATGCATCCAAACTCATGGGATTGCACCTGGACTGGACTGGTGTCCAGGGCCTCGGCAGCCCCTGCCAATCACATTGTCCACATGCCCAGATCCCTCTGCAGCAGCAGCACAGCCTGACAGCCACAGAGGGGGAGCCCAGGCTCTCACTCTCCAGTGACCATTGTGCCCTGGGCATCCAAATGTGCTGGTGCCCAGAGCCAGCCCTGCTGAGACCCTCAGTGCGGGGTGACCAGTGACACCTGGGGGGCTGACCCCTTTGCTGTGCGCTGTGCTGGGGATGAACACACCCCATATCTTTAGGAAAGAAAAAACAAAGGACTCACAGAGTTTCCAGACTGTGCAGCCCATCAAAGCCGTTGGCTCCCAGGCTCTGGATGCGGTTGTTGTGCAGGTGCCTGTGGACAAAACAGACATGGTCAGTGGGAGTGCCAGCTGACCTTTCCTTTCCT